TTTTTGAGCTTTGCTCCTCTTTTGAGATTTCTCTTCATGGCTTTTAGCAATATGATCTTGCCCCCAATTAGGCATGTAACTATATTCCCCGGTTTTGGGATAGGTATGAAAGAAAAGGCTCACTTTTTCTTTTTAGGCTCAACTTGGTTGATGAAAGGATGGCTCTTTTGGGTAAAGTGTTTGGCAATTAGGCTCATGAAAGATGGCCTTTGATCCTTGAGCTTTTCACTTTAGACCTCAAAATGACGACAATCGTTCAACTTAAGTTAGCAAGATTTCCTTATTCTCTCTTTTTCTCCCTTTTTTTTTTGCTTTTTTTTTTTTCTTGTATGAGTCTATCGCATTTAACTGCAACTTTGGCCTCTATTTTGCAACACATCAATTAATTCAAGGGAAGAATCTAGATCACCATCATCTTCCTAGACATGGATTTGGATCATTTGAAACATATACCAATCCTGAAATGACATCATTGTATTCAAATTCATCATTAGCAAAGCCTGAAAGCAAAAAGAAACATGGATAAGCAACAGCATGTGAGGAAAGCATATATATGCAAGTAAATTTTCTTTGTTGTTGTTGTTTTTTTTTTTTTTTTTTGAGCATATTAATGGAATCAAATGATGTCTCAATGGTGACTGATGGTTTGGACAATGATTAATAAGAAGAGTTGCATCAACTTTAATGGATGGTGATATGGCAACATGTGAGACTGAATTGTAAAGATTGGAAAACTAATTAGCATGATAGCAAATATTTCAGAGAATATAAAAGAGCTTGTTATTCCCTCCTTTCAAGCTGAGCTATTAGAAAGCTGACTCATCCCACTTATGGATGAATGAAGCAGAGAAAAGCTTGACTGTCCAATTGGTCAAAGTGTCCCCAAGGCAGAAGTTATGGTCATGTCAAATAGGGGTTCATCCTTAAGAGCAAAAATACTTAAACTTCCCCATGTCCTAGATTTGCCTCCTCATTCATTGAATTTAAATCTACATGTCTCATGTGTAAGTCCACTTCAACATCATATCTTGGTGAGCTTATAAGAGTATGTTGAAGGTTGCCTTCTAGATGGATGATGCATTGCTCCAAAGAGTGAGAAAACATAGGGAAACTACCATGCCTGATTTCTTTTTTTTTTTTTGTTCTTGAAGTAGTTTATGGTACCTACCTGCAAACCAAAAGTAAAAGAAAAATAAACAAAGTTAGAATAATGTTAGAAGTTATCCCATAATTTTGCATGATTTAGTGCTTCAACAATTGCTATATGGATTCACACATTGTCGATTTCCAATCCTTAAGGAGCCTCGAATGAAGCAAAATATCTTTGAACGCTTTGAGATTTCCATAGACTCCAAGGGCTATAGAAAAGACACTTATAAGTAGTTCAACATGCATTACAAAGATGGTCATTCATTACAAAGTAGAAGCCTAGTACATCACACTAAGTACATCAACATGGTAGCATTCAAGTCCCTAGTAAAATCTGGCTCCTAGATCTTTCAAACTACAATTGTTTAATGAGAAGTTTCATTCTTTTCCTTGATGAATCCCTTGATTGCTGGAGCAACATGAAGTGTGATGTGCTTGAGCTTTTGATCTTCAAGGCTGCTCTTGGTTCTTGTCCTTCTAAGCTTGCCCCCTGGACTTGATGATTGTCAACGATGGAGAAAATGCTTGCAGTTGAAGATCTCCTTAATCCTCTATTGGTCAAAACTTTCTCCATGGATGAATATTTCAAAAGGTGTCTTGATTGACGAAGAATCACATTTGACCATGTATGAATCCATATTTCAATTGTTGAAGGCAGAGAATCAAACAAGATTATGTGAGTGCAAGGAAAGAAGTAAACATGGATGCCAAACAATAGATAAAGGATGAAGGAACATGAATATGCTCTAAAGTGATAATGTGTGTGGAGTTGTATCCTAAAACATGCATTTTTGGGAATGCACGAAAAGAAATAAACATGGATGGGAAATGAGTGATAAAGGATGCAAGAATATAAATATGTTGACAAGTGGTAAGGTGTGTGAAATTGTATCCTAAAACATGAATTTTTCTTCATTAAGTATGCCAAGCAAATTTCTCTTCATTAAGTATGCCAAGCAAATTTCAAAGGAGAAGCTGGTGATTCACTATTGTTACCCATTAAATTGGCATTCATAAGAAATATCATTCCTTTAAAAAGAAAGCAAATGCCATGAAGCTTAAAGAAAAAGTGAATGGTGTAATACTTGGAGAAAGTGGATGATGTGATGCTCCAAAATCATGTGCTCAAATTATTTTGATGTTTAAAAGATGGACTTTTCATGAATTTATGTTGGAAGAAACTCTTTTTCTTTTTCTTTTTTGTTTTTATGAAGTTTGAAACATGTGGGTATAAATTTCTTGTAAAAAAATGCAAGATGGTGAGAACTTTGAATGAGAGTTTGGACAATTTTTTTTTCTGAAAATCATGACTTGAAGGACTTGATTGAAGAACAAGAAAATATGAGGATCAAATTTGATTTTATTCTAAACATGAAATGAGCATGAGATGAACGTTAATTTGACATGGGATGGAAAATGCGATGTAAGGTTGAATATGAGTTGCAATGAAAAATGGGATTGAATGAGAACTGAACATGAACAAGATTTTCATTTTTATGAAATTTTTTTTTTTTATAAAGTGTGGGACATATGACAAACATAGGATGGATAGAGATAATAATACTTGAAATGAAATGTGAAATGCAATGCAAAATGCATGTGAATGAAATTTTCATTTTCATTTTTATGCACTTGTTTTTGAACTATGAAATGGAAATAGTGATGGTTGAAATGAAATATGTGATGAAAAAGGGAATGTGAAATGAACATGGAAGAAATTTTCATTTTTATGCTTCTTTTTTTTTTCTTGTTTTTTTCTTCTTCTTTTTTTTGTTTTCTAAATGTGAAAAGGATGAGATGAGAGGAAAACTAGCACTATGAATAAAATTTTCATTTTTTTCATTTTTCACCATTTTTAAATTTTTTTATGCAACTTTTATGAAATATGGGAAATATAAGATAAAGATAATAATGCTTGGAATGAAAATTTGAGATAGAAAATGCAATATGAAATGCATGTGAATGAGATTTTTTTTTTTTATGCAATTTTTATATGAGATGGAAGATGTAATGTAATGAACATGAGTGGAATTTCATTTTTTTGTAAATTTTTGTGAAATATGAGATGAAAAATGGGATTTAAAAAGAGTATGATGAAGAATGCCCCACAAGACGAACATGAAAACATATTTTATGATGCATGAGATGGAAAATGCAATACAAT